AAATCGTGTTCCTTCATAACCGAGGATAAATTGTTAATGATAATTCTCGTACTTTTTAGATGTGTGACAGTCAGTTTCAGCTTCATAGCTCACGAGAGCTAAATCGATTGATTAAAATTTTTTGAACCCGAACTCGAACCGTACTCTTAATATTCATAATGAAATTCACTAATACAAATCTAATAATTGCTTCGAAGACGCGATATGTTTTTTGCAATCATTTGTATTTGATAACTAACATACCTTACACATTTCTCAGGCAACCTCGACGATGATCTTCTGATAATCAAGTTGTAAGTGGCTCTTAGTCTTAGCAAGAATTCATCGGGTTCGAAAACTCTGGACCCGGATCTGACCGATTTCGGCTCCTACCCGACGGGTTTTAGTAGAAAATGTCTCTAGGTCTGTGACATCTCACAGTACTAGACAGCTGGTTCTTTTTTCGAGAGTACAGTGATCACTGGTTTCACTAATAAATAGATCTAGTGATCGATTGTTTTAAGGAAACGGGTTAAGTGCCTGGCCCTTTTTAAATGGGTTTGTTTTTACTAATAACGGTGATCAACGAACCCATTCAATGCTTGTTCAAGTTGCTAATAAAGAAATCATTACCAGATCCAAATCTTCTATTAACAAACTTTGTATTTTTGAAAACTCGAACAACTACCAAATACATTAGCAAGATCAACATTATTAAAAGAGCAAGCTCACTGAATAGAAATTGTTACTGAACTCAGTTCCAAAAAAAATACTTGGTCTCTACATCTAGTTTTCGAAAGAATCATCCGGTAATTGGACTAATTCTCAAAAGAAGAACCTGTTTGTAGAACTACGATCTGTCACAGGCTTATGAGAACGCACACTGAATAACTCTCGAGAAGTTAGGGTGCTCTCTAGGTATCTCTCTCCAACTCACGTAAGCTGAAACTTTCAGAAATAAAAGATCTTGATGAGATATATATGTGATAAAAATGTCAGCTCTTTATGTCAAGATAAAGTATGAAAAATATCATTAACAATTTATTTCTCAGTTGTTATGGACACTCTTTATAAGATCTGAAACAAAATATACATCCAAGAAGTGTAACAAACAACAATACAATAGCGTATCAGAAGGAAAGTTAACGTAAAACAAAACTAGACATGTAGTAATGTATGAAATTCCTTGACACAATCAACAACACAAATATCTACATGACAATCTTTATGCATATAGCGTGAATCAGTTCTCTTTCTAGGTCTTTGACTCATATGTGCACTTACAACAGATATTTCTTGATCAGTTTTTCTATTTGTTATTTGAGGAATAAGAGATGAACAATGTCTAACAGTAAGTCTATCTGATTGATAAGTTACTGCAGGACAACTTCTTATGGATTCTTAAGCACTACAAGTTGAAAAGGTTTCACAAATAAGTTGTAAAGAATAATCAACAAATTTAAGTTTCTATGTGTAACATGTATATTTGAAATAAAAATTCATACTAAAAATTCCAATTTTAATGTCTATATGGGTTTCTTGCTTTAACCAAGTTTCGAAACCTTGTACAGATGGGTTCGTTCCTCAATAGAGCTCCGTTTGGTGGTTGGTCCCGACGAAGCAAAGACATTTTTTAATAAAATGAGTGAAACATATAGCATCTGATAAAATGAAAAACATTCAAATTTTTATTTTTTAGTAAATTCAAATAAAATATTATCATTCATTTCAATGCAGTGTCAATTCAGTAATAAATTTAATATCGTTAATTTATTGTTATTCTATATTTGAATAGAGTGGCAAGGTCAAATAAATAATTATTTATATAATTTTATTATTCAACAATCAAATATTATGATCATTTTTAAAAAGAATAATTTATTTGAATTTATTATTGAATAATTGAATATGATAAATAAATAAAAATGAAGTACTTTTAAGTTGTTTATTTTCTGATAATTGTATTTGAGAAAGAGAGGGAAGGTGACATAATGTCTACTGTTTGAATATAAATATAACGTAATCTACCTTTAAAATTGTTCGATCTGAAAACTACAGAATGTAAATATGTACTTTTCGAGTAGATTGAAAAGTAGCAAGAGGAGAACGATGTCTGTTGATCGTCATGTATACATTCTTGTTTGTTTTGCAATGCGTTGAATTTTTAGATAGTACACTCATCTGAACTAATTTCAGTTAATAAATTGTTTGTACTCTAGCTTTGTTGCCTTAATTATGCTGTGGATGGAGTCAAATCTCAATTTTCGATACTTAGTTTGGACATCACTGGAAGAAGGCATGGTACAAATTTTTTATCATCGATCCAACACTAAACATGCACTTAATCGCATTACTTTCCTTTAATACTGAAAATAAACAATTTTTTCTAGTTTAAAAATAGATTTTATTTAAATAAATAAATAAAAAAGTCAAATATATGCAAGACGTTCCTCATTGATATTTCGAGTAGTGAAGCGAACATGGAGCTATTAGAATGCATTTACCATTGACACACTTGGAACTGGCGCAAAGTGGATATGTCCATGGGGGGCATTTGGTTTCACAGTAATTAGGATGAAAGCATGAACCAGAATCCTTACAAGAGTCATTGATCTTCTGCGAACAAGGAGAAATTATGTGACAGCGTCCATTGATACACACCGATTCAGTACAGAACGGTCCATAGCCTATTTTACAATCAGCACATACTAGCGGATGTATACACTGACTAGCATTTGTGTATTGACAAACCGAGCACGGTGCAATAGACTGGCAAATGCCGTTGACACACTCGGCTGATGCACAGAAAGGTCCACAACCGAGAGGACATGAGAAACGACAGAGATTGAATGAAACACATTCGCCAGGCAAACACGATTTTAAAGACCGATTGATGCTTGCAGGTGTACATCCAATGATCAGTACAGCACAGAAGGTAAGTAAAAAGCGTTTTACGAGCATAAACATAATTGAATATACTTTCTATTTAAAATAGAATGATGAAAAAATGATGACTGTATTTATACTAATTGGTTTAATGATACATAGAGATACACCCATTGATATATCACGCTTCTTTCTCATTTTCTTTGACGTCATGCATCACACTACAGGTGTACATTTATCATGAAGGATAAACTTTGATTCACTAAAAGAAATATTTCACATTTAGTTTTTGCATCAAACGATACATAATTTTCATTTGTGAAGATGTCTTTTGCTATTTGTTCTTTTCTTGAAGAGAATCACTTCTAAAAGCAGAAGTACGGTTTCAGTTTTTGTGAAGAATCTCACTGTAAATTTGTTCTAAAGTCAAGTTTCGTCTGAATGACAAAATCTAGCTTAGATATTTACTAAATAAGGAGACTACCAGTTTTATAAAATATTCGCTAGAATGCTACATTAATGGAATTCGTCGCAATGCTCAACATTAAAATTATACTCATGAAAGTTTATTAGTATTAAAGGAGAAGAATTTATATTGAGGTCAACAAAATAAATAAATTTGAATATTTAATAAACTTTTTGTAATTATTTAGAATGCATTATCATGAGACCAAACTGTAATTGCTTGAGACATTCACCGCAATCTATATAATTTTTAATTGGTTTGGATCTTCTGTCTGCAGTCATTTTTTCTATTTCGTCTTGAATATAATTGTCATGTATTCATAGAAGTGCGGAGATATGCGCGATTAAATTATATGCGTGTATGCTTGAGAGTGTGTCAACGATAAAGAAGAAATTCCCCCTTCCCCTCCCTATTCCATAATTTTTAATCAAGTAACTATAATGGCATTCTATCGGCTGTTCGCGCAAAGAACCAGATGCAACAGTTTTTCCTATTTAAATATCAAGATTGGTTTTGAAGTTATGTCACATGACATCCGTAATCAAAATTCATGGCAGTATTAGAGTTGAATGTTTGAACCTGGCAAAAAGAGACAATTACAGCTATGATAATAGCGAATATGTGTAATCATTCAAGTAAGCAAAAAATAAACAAAGATGGACGGCACGACAAGACTGAAATGTCTTTCATACCTGTCCTGATTAGTTACCTTGACAGGAAATGTCCTGCAATCATGTTCGAACTCGCCCAGGATCTCCTTGAACCCTGTTATGTCTGGTCTGTTTATCCATCTAACTCATCCAGACTGGTTTGCAAAACGAAAAAGTGGATTTGTGCATAACATCTGACATTATTCAACATCGAACAGATATCCCCAGAGTGGATACTAGTCTTAATTATTAAATGTGTTTGTAACGATTAAATTCGTTAGTAATGGAAAGATAATTGAGTGGAGCGCAACGTAAATAATTTTTGACATTTCTATTATTTCCATGAAATAACTGATGATATCGATTTATTTTCTAATTTGAGTGGCAATTAGAGAAGTTATTCAAAATTAATACTGAAGTGAAAAATAGACAAGATTTTTTCTACATCCGGATATCGATATATTTATTATATCTGCAAAGTAAATTGGAAATATTTCATTTAAAGATAATTTAAATATTTCTACATTATAATTATATGTTACTTTAAATTTAAGGATATATTTAAATAGCACAAATGTTACTTAACTGTAAATTTAGACCGCTGTATAACACTACAATTCCTCATGTGTAGCGTTGTGGATGCTCTTACTTTTCTAATTTAAAATATTTTTTTTTTGGGATGGACGTCAGGAGAGTACTCCAATAGATTTCGGACTAATTAGTCTTTTTACCCTTTCTTTGCTCACCTGGATAATATTTATTACAGAAAAAGATATTATTAATGTTAACTAAGAAGAAACCCGTCTTCCATAAAATTTCATTTTCGAATATATTAGTCAATGAATTTATTATCAAAAGTTATAGAACAATTTAAATCGTAGCATTAATTCAATATTTTAATGCTATTTTCTTTTAACTCAATTCATTTTTCGTAAATTTTTTTCAACAGTACGATATATTGTTGTTAATATCAAGATAGAACAACAGAAAAAGTAATTTTATTTGTATAACATAGACCTCTAACCATTTACAGATGAATGACAAAAAGGACAGACGTCGAGACGAGCCATTTCATTTTCTAATGCTCGATGTTTGCAAGCTGGACAAATCCAAAAACCATATTCAATAATCGGTTTACCAGTAGCGATACACGGTGGAAAACGCCAGTCACATGATGGACAATTGAGACACCTGAAATGATAGAAATAAATTCTATGTGGAATTAAATCTTTATTGAAATGTATAAATGTAGAATCGTAAATGACGTTGAGAAATCGGAATTTTTTCTCGAAAGTAAGAATAAATGTTTCTTTGCAGGTGGCAGAACTAGAATTTTCGAAAAGGATAGGGCGGTTATTGTGAAATGCACTTTTTAACGCTGACTCAAAGTGATATAAACTGACTTTTCGCTCATTTTTGCTAACAGAAATTTTTTGAAAGGATGGACAACTTCCACTTTTCCTTTATCTAGACACTGACTTCAATCTAATCTGAATAATAAAATATTCGTTAAAAAGTTCTTTGTTACTTATTCTCCCTAGAGCTTGTTGAATTGGTCCCGAGTCTCAAAAATTCTGCGTCCGTTAAAAGGATTTTGATTTAATCACACATAGGAAAAAGTGACTATAAATTTTTCAATGATTTTTGATTGCGTAAAGGAATACATGTCGGCTTCTAGAGAAACTTCGTCGTATTCTATTAAGACTGCGACGAAGATTACGTCATCTATGGACATGTAAATGGTATCGAATAGAACTCGATAATGCATAAACTATTAGATAGGACAAGTCTCTTTCCTATCGAGTATTGCTCTAGTATCAAATCGAAATTAGTTTCAGAATAATGAATAAAATCATCAAGATTAATTCATATCTAGAACCTGAATACAACACTTAAATGTTAGATCCTTTCACTAAACATTTGCAATAACATACCAATCATTAATTCTATTGCTACATTGTGGACATTGTCCCGAGAGTGTAGGACGTTTGTCTTTTGGTTGTGAGCTGGAAAAAAAAAAGTAATCATAAATGAAAAAATAAAAAATCAATTCTTCCGAGAAATAAAACAATACAAAAAAGAAAAAGAAGTCAATAACACAGATCAAAGTGATTTACTATAATATCCTTTAATTCCAACAAAAAATGTTACAAGTACAGTCATAATTAAAACTCCAATAATAACTCCACCAAAAACATATGTTAAAACTAAATTTGTATATAAACGATTTGAAAGTTGTCTTGCTTCATCATTGAATTGAGGATTATTTTTTTTTAATAAACGTCGAATTTTTATTGATTGAATAAAACAAACAATACCAGCACACATCCAAAAACAACTTAAACAAGCACATAATGATGCTTTAAAATAATCTTTAATTGGACTTTCTTCAATTATAATATGATTTTTTGAAGATCGTTTTTTCTTATCAAAACAATAAGGTCTATCAAGATTTGGTGATGGTTCAATAATTGGTATACAATATTCTTCTTGCTCATTTTTATTTGAATTCCAATGAAATACATGATTATAATGAGTTCTCTTCCATGAAGCCAATGAACTTTTATCTAAATGACGTACATCTAGTGGTTGTTGATTTGCTTGATTCATTGTATAAAATGGCAATCAGAAGGTGACTTGCCATATATAACTCACAATGCGAGAAAGAGAGAGAGAGAGAGAGAAAAGAACAAAAATGAAGAAGATCAAGATTTTGATAACAACATACACCAAAAAGTGTGAAGAAAGAAAAAAAAAGAAGAACGAATAAAATGACGCCGCATACTGATTTCTTATTGTAACATACCTAAGAAAGATTTGAAAGGCCAATTTTTGATATTCTTTTCGATCTTCTTCACTTATTGATGGATCATCTTCAAGTTTAAGAAATGCTTTACTTGCTGTATTAAATGCACCACATGATGTTGCACAAAGTGCTAAATAAATAAAAACAAAAAAAAGAACATTAGTTTCATTTCCTCAAGTAACAATCACACCATCGTCCTGAAAAAATATTAATTTTCACCAGAAAAAAATCGAAAGTGAGATGATAGCCTAAGGTCCGATCTTTCATAAATTAACTTTAATTTTTTTTTTCGCACGTCATTTTTTTCATGATTTCTATAACTTTCTACTTCAAAAAATATACTTTGGTCATATCGTGCATCCCAGAACTCTTGTTAAAGGCTGGCAGTTTGGTTTCGATTAGTAAAAATGATTTCCATTTCACTTCCTAAAAAGTATCTTTGGAATCTCGGATAATAATTTTACAGTAATGTTTTATTTTTCGAGATTTTTAATGTCTAGTGTTTTTGAAAAAGCAAATTTTATTCTATTTTCTTTATTTACGGAAGACAGTAGAGTATAGTAATTCTTTTTTTTTTGATTATCTTTTTTCGCTAGTCATGAGACGTACATCAAGTTAAAAAGTCCTCAATGAAGCTGAGAAACTCTATGAAAAAATGAGATTTCAAACAAAAACAGAATTATTTGAGTTTATCTCTTAATGTGATAGAATACCACTGGAGATGTTTCATCAAATAACTACTGTGAAAATATGACTATTTGGACAAAAAGCTTGCTTGTCAAATGAACATAACTCAAAGTCATAGTGATTACGAGAGTGCGGATCGAAGTGGCGCTACAATTTTTTCAAGGACTTTAATCATACTTTTAGCAATTTTTTTATTTCCGTTTCTTTCCAATGTAAGAAATACGACATAGTTTACCGTTGGTGAAATCGTAAATTAATCTATCATCTTTTTTCTCCGCAAGGTACTGCAGTCTGACATAATTTTACAGATAAAAAAAAAATAATTAAGTTTATAGAATGAAAAATCAAAAAGAATTTCCCGTTGTCAAATGAATTATTTTTGACTCTTTTTTTTTATTAAATAAATTCATATGATTTGAATGTACTTGAACCAAGATCGATTTCTCATGAAAGACTTAAATTATTTGAAAAAGATTATTATCAATCATTTTATTACCTATAAGATTGTAAATTGTTTGAACAGGAATAATGTCTTCATATTCAGTTAGAGTGAGAGCAGATCGTAAGGCTCCTTCAGAATTATTGGCCTTAAATTGACGTTGAGCAAGAATGTAGAAATGATACGCTTCAGCAGGACGCCAAACATTATCAAGCAATTGAGTATCAGAAACACCACCTGAGCCTGTTGTTTCCTCTGTTAATAAACCTTGCAAAGCATCAGATGCCTATTAAAAAAACAAAATGCTCAAAATTCATTCGAAGTTCACAAAAAATGTGCGTAGGGTCTACACTAGAATGTAAGTCTCTTCTATAACATATGGAAATTTTGAGTTATTTTGTAATTCGTTTGCGTTATAAACTCGCTAAATTATTCGATTTTTGTAAAACTCTAGATTTCAATACATCAATACAATCAATTATATATAGTTAAACTACTTATAGATTAGTCGATCGATTGATTTTGTTATATATGAAATTAATATTATTTTATCAACATACCGAAATAGCTCCAGTTGATTTTTTTTCTTTTCGTGATGTTGTTTTCATTGCAGTACGATATTGTTCAACAAGTAAACCACATAAAATATACATTTTTTTCTTCATTAATAATGGTCGATTTTCTTTACTATGATTTTCAGCAATCTTAAAAAATTTAAACAATAAAAAAATTAAAATACTTTAATTTTATGTATATTAATTTATTTACTTCATAGAGAATTTTTGCTGCCTCTAAATAATTTGCAGATTTTTTATATAATTCAATAGCATCAAATGGTTTATTTTGATCAAGTAATGTTTTAGCTTGTCGTGTTAATAAAGCTTTAAGATCACTTAAATTATAATGACGAGCTAATTCTATTCCCATATCCCATTGACTTAATTCAATACACATTTGTACTGCTTCTTGTATTCGATTACACTAAAATATTCAAAATAAATATTCACAATAAAAATAAACTAAATATTAATTTTACTCGTTTATATGCATCAACAGCTTGTTCAGATAAACCAACACCAGAAAAAGTATCAGCAATAGGCTATAAAATAAAAATTTAATCTTATTTTTAAATTAATCAAATAGAAAAAAAAAATGTTACGTTAAGTAAAGGATCATTTTCTTGTAATGATTGACTAAGTTTTTCTAAAGCAACATAATCTTCTGTTAATGCATAACAATGAAATAATTGAGAATTATTTCCACTTTGTTCATAATATTTAGCAGCTGTAGCCCTTTAAAAAATCAAACTAACTTAAACAAAGACATATATGTAGAAAGACAACATGACTAACCATTGTTGTCGATCATAATAAAAATCTCCTAATTCATTCCATGCTTCATTTTGCATAGCATCACTAGCTATAGCACCTGATTGAAGAATTTGTACAACACGAAACCAATCACCTAATTTACGTCGTAATTGATAAGCTAAATCCCTATAAATCAATGATTAAGTAAACTCATCAGAAATAAGATATATAGTTGAACGAGATTAAATCCATAAAAACCGATCTTGTTTATATTTAAGCAGTACTCAAACGATTTACCAAGATTTTTCGAACATGATTGCTATTTTAGATAATATATGAAAATGTATTTGTAATATATTTTATGATAATGTGAAATCGTTTTTCATTAAGTTAGGTCACACATTCATACTCCTAAACAATTGTTTGCGGTTAGAATGGGCTTCATACAATCCAACAAACTGTAAGTATAAATTATTGGTTCTATTTTTTTCCGTCATTTTAAATTTTTGTTATTCAACCTAAGCTGTCAATTTTCAGCGAATTTTACGAGAGGAAAGGATTATCGAGAGGGTGATGATAACGACGACGGGTTTTTATTAAAAATAGACATATAAGCTCGAAGTTAAGATCAGGGATGTAGCTTTTAGAATCTTATAAATTCAGACATGTAGATTACAAATAAAACCGACTGATTCTACCTCTAGAAAATAGTTTTAAATATCTGTGGTAAACATTACAAAGTGACAAATTCCATCATTTCCTATTATGTTCAACTAACGAGAATTGATAGGAAATTTCTTTTTGAATTTTATCTTTTAAATCTTGATGTTTTCTTCTGTGATCTTTATCATACATACTTTCGATCCATATGTACATAAATTTTCTCTACTTCATCATCTTGTTTAAGAAATGCCGCAATTTCAGCACGTTTAAATTGTTCACCCTAGATGAAAGAAAACATCAATACATATATTTAAAAGAAAAATTTTTCTTCATCTACTTGAAATTGTTGTAAACGTCTTAAAAATTGTAAACCATAATAATCATGAATTTTCACAAAAGCATGTTCAGCTACTTTAATATCTAAATGATTAAGTGCTTCTTCAGCTAGAGCACGCCTAAATATACAAATATATTTTATATATTTAATTATCATTCTTTTTTTTTCTACCATAATTGTGGATGAGGATCTTTTTCAATTAAACTGCTCACTTGTTCTAATGGTAATTTTTCACAAGCTATTTTCATATCTCCTAATAACTTTCAAAAGAAAAAGAAAATATATTTATTAATAATAAAACTAAAATATTTTTCTTTTACTTTATTATCATAAATAGTTATATAATCTGATGATGGAGCTTGTACACCTTTGACATGCATTTTCATTATTTCATCAAGCATAACAACTTTAACTTGTAAATTATTATAATCACATATATAACCTGAACAAGGTACAGCTTCTTCTACATCAGTACCACGTACCAATGATATTTTAGTTTTTTCCATAACTGCAAATGAATCAGGTAGATCCTAGAAGAGAAAAATTTTATATTTCATTTTTTATTTAAGATATAGATTTTACAATAGCCCAAACAAGATTCCAAACATCACTTTTTTTAAAATTTGCTATATCTTCTCGTGGTTCTTTACTTTCCATATCAATTAACATACAATTTCCATTTGTATCAATGATTGACATTATTCTAGAATAGATAAATAAATTTTATTTTTGAAAAAAAATAATTAATTAATACACTTACGTTGCAATGGAATTAAGTGCAATTTTACTTATACGAAATTGACATTCAATCTTCTCCATTAAATTACATGCAGGAAGTGAATAACGAAGAACAAGACCAGATAATCGAGCCTAAAATTTCATTAAGAAAATCTTCTTCAAATAAGGAATATATTTTGAAAACTAAATAATACATTATTTAAACAACTTCTAAGTAATTACTTTTAAATTCATAGTCAGCTAAAAGAACCAAAATTTCTACATACACTCATACTAAAAAAACTCTGGCAAAGAATCAAAGTTAATTGAAAGGTGGATATATCCCATTTTACCTAAAATAGCCCAAATATTTAATTGATTCAAGTTTATGGAAAATATCTACTCATTAGCTTCAGTTAAATTCACTGATGAATCTCTCTTTTTCATAGATTCTATTTTGTATTATTACTACTATCAATATTTCGAAAATAGATAGAAAAAAAAACATATCACTTACTACAAAGATCCATTTATCTGACCCGCATATACTTGTAATAGGATCTTCAGTTTCCTATTCATAAAAACAAAACAATAAAATCATTTTTCAATCAATAAAATATCTATTACCATTCCATCTAAATTAGCCATCAAACTCAATTGAAGTTCATCACCATGTCTTACTGTTGCTGGATCATCAATTTGGATAAATCTTTAAGGGAAAAAACTGTTAACACAATTTCTACATGATTAAAATATGAAACATGAAAGAAAAGTAAAGAACAACTATTATACTAATTCCGTAATGAACTTTAATCTCGTGATTATATCTGTCGGAAGGAGAAAACGAATTTCTACTCCTTTGTTTCAGTACTTCCTTTTATATTGTGTTTCACAAACAGGAAATACTTATTTTTTGTTTTTCTTTCAAAAATTCATCTTACTTTTCATATGGTTGTTTTTTAACCATTTGTGATCCAATAAATCCACTAATACCCCAAATAAAAATTAATGATTTAGCAGCAATAATTGCATAACTTTGTGTTACACATATATGTATTGGTTGAAATGGAATATATTTTGATTCAATTGTAACACCAATTGAATTACATAATAAAACAACATGTGTATCTGTTACTGTATTATTTGCTGATGGTGATGCTCGTTCAACAAAACTACCAATACAACAATATGAACCACAACCACCAAGTGCAAGTAAATTTCGAACATATCGATAATGAACCTTTTGATTTTAATAAATAAAAAAAAATTGAATTTAACAAACAAAAATTTTTACTTCATTTGTTTTTGTATTCCAAAATACAACAATATGTTCTGGTCTAGTACATGTATAAAATGAATAAATAACTGTATCTTGAATATAACACCACTAAAAAGAAAACAAAATACGAATTTTTCTTTTTACGTTTAAAAAATACTTTCATTTAAGAAAACTAGTAATTACTTTATAATCTAATCGACAATTAGCAAAATAGATAAAATTATCAATTGCAATAACAAGTCGAAGTGAATGAGCTTCCCATGCACAATCTGAAATACTTTTACCAGTTACTTTTAATGAACGTAAATGCTAAATGAGACCGAAAAAAATCGATACTATTTATAAGTTTTGTCTTTAATATAAGAAAAAACAAATCGAACCTCTCCCCATGGTGAATAAAAATGAATAAAATTATGTGTTTTATCTCCTGTTGATTGATAACCAGCAACAGCTAACATAGAACCATTATCATTCCATTTAACTGATACAACATGCATATCAACATCAAGAATAAGTGGTGCTGGATCATCTTCTCTAGACATTAATTGCATAGCACCACTTTCATAACATATAACAAGACTTTTGCTATTCATTGACATTAAACCATTTCTTCCATCATACCATTCAATAGCAGCAATTTCAGCTGATGGTACACCTTCACGAATACAAAATATATGAAGTTGACCCTTAAAAATAAGATAAGTTGACAAAGAAAAAGTTTGTTTGTAAACGAACTATATAATTGAGTTTGAAATCGTATATATGAATTTCACCACGTACAAAACCAAAAAGCAATAAATGACTATCTGGTGACCACTAAAAAAAGTTAAGAAATAAAATCAATAACGTACGAACCCATATCGTTTTTTTTTTCTTAATAATAAATTTTATTTTAATTTTAAATCAATATATGATTGATTATTGTTGAAACTATTTGAACGAGTGAAGTCCACCAATTGATTTTGATTAGGACTCATGTATATCGTGTAAATTCTAATAAGTTATGAATACTCTGAAAAGACTTTCGACTCTTTAACTTTTTACTGCAGAGATATTGAATTTACGCAGTATCTTTTAACTTGAAATCGTACCTTTTAAGAAAACTGATTTTTGAATTTTGTCCTGAAATTTTATATAGAGATTAACTTTAATAAAGTTTCAGCAATTTTGATTTCCTAATATTTTAAAATAAAAACATCGAATGCGTTAATAGGTGTGAACGACTTTTCAGAATACACACAGCTCATAAGAGTCTAGACGATACAAATAGTCCCATTTGGAGCTCCTCGAATCCGACCAGGAGTTCAATTTCCAAAGAACTTATACTTGAGCAAGTTCATAGTTATTCAATTTTTACCAAAAGTATTCAAATTAAAACAAAATAATTATACCTCTACTTTTGCTAATTTATTATCTCTTAAACTTTTTCCAGCTATTCTTGATCCTTCAACTGATCCAATAATCACATTTCCTAAACAAACCATTATGAATATTCTTTTGAAAAAAAAAAAATCTTGCTTTTTTGTTTTCTCTTACCATCCTCATGACCAATACAAATCATTTGTCCACTGAAATAGAAAAAAATAATCTAGTAATTTTAATAATTAAATTTTATTTGATAAAACCTACTTTGAATTCCATTTCATATCACTAATACGATTTTTTGTTCTATTATTAAGCATATCTTGTACAAATTCATTTTGTGGTCCATCAACCCAAACAATAACTGTTCCACTGGCATCAGCTGTTGTTAATTTTCCAAATTGTTCATTCCATGCTATACTTGATATAGTACTTACATGTCCTTCTAATGTTTGATTTTTTGTTAATTGTGCTTGACCAGCAACACCACGTGTACGTGCATCACCAACTAAAATTTTTAACATAAAATAAGAATTTTAAAAAAAAATTAATTTTTACTTTCAGGTATTTCTAATTTAAGTACTTTAACAAGACCATCAGCACAACCAGCAGATACATAACCATCAACTGCATTCCATCCACATTTTGTCACTGGTGTATCATTTGGCATAGCAATACGTTTAGCAAGATGAACGAACATGATTCTATTGAACCAATATTCTAAAATAAGAAGAAAAAAAAATCGTTTATATTTTTTCAGCCATAAAGCTAAACAATCATACTCTTGTAACCTAGCAACAATATCTATATATGTTAAATATTATCTTTTATTTCATTGGAGAATATTCTCTCCAACGATAAAAAAAAGAAAGCAAATATGTACGTAGAGAGTGTGTAGTGGAATAGTTTATTTTGTTTTTCTTTTTATTCTTAAATACAAGAAAAATGCAGTATTGGCGTTTAGCTGGTTTAAAGTTAGTTTTATAATTTATTACTGATTTTCTTTTATGAATTTGTATTTTGTTGTTGTTAGTTATATTCAATATTCGGCCATATGTGCACGTACACTTCGTCGTTGTTTAAAATCATCCATAGCAAAAGAAGCTTTGAAACGTGAAGAATCATATGTACGTGTTAGCAAATGGCAAAGTGGAAAATTATCTGATCAAGTTCATCCACCTAGTAAGTTGATTGTAGAATCTGCTTTTTTTTTTTTTTTTTTTTGTTATTTCTAATATATTGAATTCTTTTTATTTCTAGAAACGGAACAAACATCATAGAATTCATCCCATTAATAATTAAGATAGACTTTAGTAGTATTATTTGACGATCTTTTTTTTTTTGTCCGAATTATTCCTCTTATATTTGTTTTCTAATATAGAAAAATAAACATCATTATTATTCCTAATGCGTGATTGAATTTGATTTTGAATATATAGTTATCATTACTGAATCAATTTATCGATATCAATCTAATAAAATGTTGATCATATACAGAAATTTATTGAGATAATCCTATTTTATTCACAACAATTATCGATTCTTATTTAGTTTACTTATATTTACATTAATATAAAGATGCAATTATTTGCATAGAAGATAAGTTAATTATGTATTAGTATCAATTTTGTTAATTGTCTAATTTTGTCATTTCATATGACTTGCTATTATTCGATTTTTGCACTATGTAATGAGTTACCGTTTTTTTTCCTGATTGAAATCAGAATTTAACTATATAATTAAAGAAAAATGATGAAAGGTGATAATTAAAATCATATTATCAATTTCTAGCTCGAGTTGAGTACTACTAGGTTCAGTCTCACGTGAATTAGGACTCTGAAGCTTCATCGTATCCGTATTTTGTTTCGCTAACAAAGAATATCTTATTTGAATGCAACGATTGCAATATTTTACATGTATATACTCCTGGAATAAAAATGTTGCAGTTCATATTTTAATTAAATTGTTACAATAAAAACATGTTTAAAAAAAATAATGATATATTCTGACAGCACGTGCAGTTCTCTATTACTCTCTATATATTGTATTTTCTTTTGTATTTAGGTGCTACAAAATAAATTAAGTGCGATAAAAGCATTATCATCACTAGATTTCTACAGAATGGATTTAGTCATTGACATCAATTCTCTATCGATCCATATATATATTCTTCTGTTACATTGCATTTGTCTATTGAGTAATAACTTAAAAATAGAGAATGTAACCATAACTGACAAGCATTACAAATATACATTTTTTTTCGCTGTTTCGTTTAAATTATGATTCCCAAAGAAATAAATTACAGTAAAACCTCTTCTTATTCTGAACATGAACATACATGAGTTTTTTTTTCTTTCTCTCTCTATATTCTTCATCGTTTCTCAATGATACACTAAAACTGGCTATTTGTTGTTTTGTTAGAACTGTACATATTAGGAGAACTATGATATCTCGAAGCCATTTTGCATTAAACGAAAATATTCGATTAATTAATGATAATAACAATGATAACGGTTTATTAAAACTTAACCTAATTGAAAAATACAATATTTCACTAGGTCCTGTACATCTAGTATATTATAAAGGATCAACAAAAGAGAAAGTGACCCTTTTATTATTTGAGAGCCCAAACTGAACACTATTCAAAAGTCACAGCAGTGTTCATTCAAGAGATTGTAACGATTTAATTAAAATACGGACTACAACTTTTTTCATTCAGAGCGTATATGTTGAGTATCGTCAAACCTTTTATTAAACCACTTTTTTTAGACTTGTGTTGCATATAAATTGGATGCGTTTGTTCTATTAGGTCAGTATGAAACAGATGATAATCTAAAAACCGTTCAAGTTTAACTTTAGCATCATTCCAGGATTAAATATTTCTAAGCAACTGACAATACTCCATTGAGAAACGATAAAATATCTTGCTTGTTTTACATGAACAACTAATTTTATCATTATATCAAGCCATGCTGTAAAATGAATATAGTTTTTTTAATTTTCTTAATGTAAGAGGATGTACAAGCTTTTACAACAAGTAGTCTTTACGTGCCTACAAACTTTGGTAGATGTTGTAAATTAGGAGTCATTTTTTCTTAATTATTTATTTTCATGTTTGTTTTTGTTTCATATTTACACTATAATACCAATATCTTGAATTTAAACGAGAGCAAAATAAAATGACAAAACATGGTTATTCAGTTATCGAAAAGAAAAAAGAAACGAGAATAAAAATTAAAAATATATGCTTAAGTTCATTGATTGTTTGACGATAAACAAGATTCGGACAAAAAAGCTTTTGAAACACTGATCTTAAGTTAAAAATTACTGTTCAGACGGCTTATTCTCAAAAGAGATTTGATAAAGATAGCGAACAGAGATGTGTAATGATATCAGAGTATAATAATTGATTGTAAATATTAATAAAATTACAAGTTAAATTTCTTTTATTAGTACGGAAATATAACAGAGAAAAACACGTACCAAAGAAAAACAGCAATCAAAATTGAAGTACATTAAAGAGAATAGATAAGAAAACTTAAAATCATTCTGAAAACAAAACAAAACACTAGATTTCTATTTCTAATTAACAGCTAACAAAATAAAGCAGTCAGAAAAAAATGAAATATATCCTACAAAAATAATCTGTTTTCTTTTTATTGGTAAGATAAAAAACAGAAAAATAAACGAAAAAATATTTTGGGAATCAAATCCACATTTTGCAGTAACAGTTTCGTTACTAATGCACACAACAAAGATTTTTCTATTATTAAAATTAAAAAAGAAAAGACGCATTCAGATTTTTTTTTCAAATAGTTTATTGAACTGTTTTCATATTAAGATTTTTTTTTTTATTTGGCGCATTCGAAAACAAAATTCTCATGCCTACTGTGACATACATACTATTGATTTATATTATAAGAATATCTGTCAATTAATTGAAAAACTATGTATATATAATGAGATTCTTCATCTTATTGGAAAAGCTAAGCATTTTTTCTCTAAGTACAGCATCTTCATGTGGTTGTATAATTTGACGAAAAATAACTAATGATGAGTGTAAATTGATTTTCATAATGTTCAATAATACTTCCATATTTAATATAAACATAGCTTTACTATTGGTTTGATGTTTAACGGCGTGGCGACGCGTTACGGAATTTCATTCTTTCACATTGCAACATCTGTAACTTCTCAGTAATAAAAGCAAACTGTCCAAAATTTTTAACATATATAGATATCATTGAGGCTTATCACCAGTAAAAATGTTATCAATTTCTCTTTAACCACAGCAGAGTTATGCAAAAAATGGAATTTGTTTTTAGGGTAGCTAAGAGTTAAGCATTTTTCTACGAAACAAAGCAACATAAAAATAAATGTTATATGCAAAAGTTGTTCAGCTTTTAACAGGCTATTAGAATATGGAGTCATTTGTAATCGAGCCTAGTTTTATAAAATAAAAGATTTCGAATGTCATCCGTTACGGAATTTCACCTCCGTTTTTGGAAGATCCTGATTTGAACCCAAAGGAAACAATTAAAGTAAAAAATAACCACATATTCGTCTCGAGCATTAGGTTTTGCATAGAATGACTTGTTTTTCAACAGGATTCGACGAAAACAATTTTTCAACATTTTTGATCTCAAAAATTTTCGAGAAAAATCGAAGTCAGAGTTTTGATCATTTAAATACTTCATTTCATTCAGAGTTCGATGCTGATTTCGAATATAACCAAATATGCACATATCTATGAACAGAATCAGTGATAAACGCTTGATACTGTAAGAACACCCGAAATTTCGTGTGCACATGAAATTCCATAACGCGATATTTGTAGAAAACGAATGTGAATATTGAATGAAGCTGCAGCTAAAATGGACACTTTCTGTATAAGCGCGCAAAAATACACAATTAGCAAGTTTTGTCAAAAACGGAGATGATTTCTGAAACCATTATCTTCGTTCGTAGACAATTATCATTTGATGGAAGGACCATGTATTAAAGAATACTTTGTGTCCGATCGATTAATAACTAACTGAAGGAGTTTTTCTTTTGGTGATTGTTCGTTGCTCGACTGTATGTCTCATCACTCCCTCTTACCCAAAGTCTCGAGTTTTTCATTCCAAGGAAGACCCTATTCATTCAGAGCACTCAATGATACTTAGGAATAAAAATCCCCACATTACAAATACTATCGACCATCCTCTTTTAAATGGTAGGGTCAACTTTCTGCTTGTTTGATTTCGAACCTTCCCCATGTATAGGTGACCGATACGCGGCCATACCCTTAACAAAAATTTCAGTAATTGTATCATTGATTGAACGTGCAATAAATTCTTTAACTTGTAAAATTGACCATTTCCCTAGTCGACTCTTCCTTGGGAAGTCCCGACTGAGTTCCCTTAAAAATGCGAAATCTCAAGGAAAGATGAATGGGATAGAAAAAACATTGACCAGGAACGAAACTGGAATTGTGCTTCTGGTTTAAGACAAGAATATAAGGCAAGCAAAGAAACAAGAAGAGATCATCTAGTTATAAAGAACGACAATTATTGAGACTTCTATGCGTTTCGATAGTGATGTCATCAAAGAGGGTTTTTTATTCGTTCTCTACTTCATCTCATTCTTCTTCCAATAAGAAAACGAATAAAGAAAAGACACATTTCTCTTATAGCAACAACGACATTTACTGTGCTTTGCTTTGTACGTCTGCACGTATACAACCATTAGACATGGCTTTATTGACTGAGGAATACGCCATTGTTTGGCTCGATGAAAATAATTCTCAGCCGGATATTTTCTTTGATCGAACTTCAAATTTAACTTCAATGATAAGTAATCTTCAAACTTTCAGCAATGTACCCGATTTTATTCATTTCATCGAATCATCATCTTGTGATATTCTTATATTTTTGATCATTTCTGGTCAGCTAGGTGAAAATCATGTTTCAAATTTACATGTTTATTCAAAAATATGTCACATCTATGTCTACTGTGTGAGTCGTCAAAAACATGGATCTTGGATTGATAAACATGAAAAAATTCGTGACATCTATATCAATCGAGATTGCTTATTAAAACAATTAATGGCCGATGTGACACTTTATTCGAAATCACTGTCAGCTCCCATTACACTTTTTAAGCGTGATGAATTAATACAGAAGGAAACATCAATAAGAAATTTAAGTAAAGAAAGGGCTATATTTATCTGGTATCAATTACTCTTCGAAATTGTGCTAGGATCAGCGCCATCTATCAAGGCTCGAAGAGAAATTTTGAATGAATTTAAACAAGCATATCAAAATAATGCGATAGAATTACAAAAGATTTCTGAATTTGAATTGAATTATTCACCTAAAACAGCTCTACGATGGTACACACGGAATTGTTTTCTATTTCGTTTAGTGAATAAATCGATGCGAACACAGAATATTGTAGAAATTTATAAATATCGTTGGTTTATTCGTGATTTACATGAACAACTTTCTCAATTACATTCGATTCAATCAGCTACATTAGCATTTTCAAAAGTTTATCGAGGTCAATTGATAAGTTTCGAAGAATTAGAACAAATAAGATCAAATATTCAAGGTCTTATTTCACTAAATACTTATTTTTCCACATCGATTAACAAAGATGTCGCTGATGAATTTTGTGGTGGAGGATTGGCACGACCCAATTATGAATCGATTGTTTTTACCATCAATATCAAACCGAATGTGACAATGAAACCATTTGCTAGTATTCGAGAATTTAGCTATATGCAAGATGAGAATGAGGTATTGTTTAGTGCAGGTACCGTTTTTCGTATAATCGTTGTTCATGAACCAAACAATGGAATTTGGTCGGTTGAGCTTGAGCTTAACAGTGATATTGAACAAGATTGGGATGAATTTATGCGATATATGCGTACAGAAATGCTTGAGCGACCGACACTATTTACAATGGGCAACTTTTTATCAGAAATGGGAGATCTTGAAAAAGCCGAGCAATATTATCGATTGTTAATCAATGAACTCGAGCATGAGAATGATATGGGTGCTATTTTAACAGCCATTGCAGGAGTGCACTATCGGAAAAGTAATTATTCTACTGCTATTCGCTACTGCGACGATGGCTTGAAGCGACTCATCAATTTACCAGAAACTCATCCTGATCTCGCTACGGCATACAATCTAAGGGGAATGATTCATTATGATATGGATCAGTTAGATGATGCAATGCGTTGTTATGAACATGCATTTCACATACATGAACAGACATTGCCATCGAACGACCCATTCATTGCCTCGGATCTCAATAATATTGCTTCTGTTGATTCGAAAGCACATCGTTTTAATCAAGCATCAAAAAGATTTGAGCAAGTTCTAAAGATCAAACTATCTATTTTACCAAAAGATCATCCTAGTATTGCTCGTACGTATGTCAATATGGGTCGGTTGTATGCTGAACAAAGAAATTGGATAGTAGCTCTGAACTTTTACGATAAAGCATTAGTGATTCAACAGAAAATTTTACCTATCACACATCCCGATCTTAGCATAACATATGTAAACAAAGCTCATATTTTTATTGAACAAAAAAACTTCGATATTGCAAGACAATTCTGTAAACAAGCTCTTGATATTCAATTGATAACTGTTCCATTGAACAGTAACTATTTGGCAAATACGTATAGTTTATTAGCAACTATTGATAGTCAAACAGGTAAACGTATGCAAGCATTATATGCCTTAGAGAAAGCTTTACAATTCGAACAAGATTGCCATATATCATGGGAAAGAATTTGTCATCTACAGAATCGAATAGGGGATATTCACATAAAAAATGGTGATTATCAATTGGCTTTGAAATCATTCATGGAAGCACTTGATTCAATTCCTGCGACAAAGCGTGATCTTCTACGTTTCTCAACGTGCAATAATATTGCTACTGTCTATCATAATACTGGTAACTATAGGATGGCTCTACAATATTATCATCAATCTATGGATTATTTGAATACTATGAGTATTCCGCCATCGAATGTAAATTTACTTCTTTTCTATCAGAACATTGGTTTGAGCTATTCAGCTACTGAACAATACGATTTGGCATTAGAATATTTTGCTCGTGTGTTCAGTCTTACTGATGAAGCATCTATTATTGCTAAGAATTTTTCAAACATGGGAGATGCTCTTTTTCATAAGCAGGATTATGATGAAGCTTTACAAAATTATGAACTGGCACTTAATCATTATCCCGTGAATGGCAGTGCTCGAGCTGCTACATATAACAGCATTGGAATGACTCATCAGTTGTTAGAAGATGTTCCTCGTGCTCTGAACAGTTATCACCAAGCAATATATATTCTACAGACAATAGAATGCACCAATAGGGATGAAGAATTGGCCGCAGTCTACAGTAATATTGCGAATGCATATTTGAAAATCGGTAATTTATCCGAAGCAAAGATTCATTTTCGAAAGCAACTCGAATACGAGGCGGATGAACATTCGAAACGTGAAGTTGAACAGATTCTTGCTAATCTTTGATGAAATTTGCGCATACCACTAAGAGTATAGACTGGGTGATGATCTGTTTTTTCACTGTATTCTTCTTAAAACCAGTTATGCGTCTAATACAAGTTCTACTAGAGGTCAAATAAATACAGAATCTTTATTGATTCTACAATGATATTGATATTCAATATGTATGTGGGTCGTTGATTATGGAGCGACGTTCTTTGCGAACTGAGCAGTAGGTTTTTCGAATGAAAACTATAGCAAAAATTCTTTCCTCAATGCCTACTACATTATAGATGCATAAAGGTATGTGATATTAGAGAAGAATGAATCCCTCACTCATCCATGTCCGGTCTATCTAGGTGATACATGTGTAGGATACTCAAAAGAGCTTTAGAACGGTCATTTCACTTGAGAATGAACTCACAACTGCTGCATCAGCAGAAAAATGCCAAAGGTGAAGGTCAAGTGAAAAACATTATTGAGTATTATGGTTTGATTAACATTATTGTAAGCCATAACAAGAAGATGAAGAATATCGAGAGTAAATCCAACTTATGAATTTTGAATAGATTAAGAAAGTGTTCATGAAAAACAGTGTTTCGATGCTAGTCTTTAGGAAAAAAACAGCTACATCTGTGTTTAGACGCATTTAGTTTTATTTGCAATGTCTTTCTGCAACTTTAGAAATGCATTAGAGAGTAGTATTTATAATGCATTTTTTAAAAGGAGTTATTTCAGAAATAAGTTCAAGAATATTTGGATTTCTATTTTGAAGTAAATACACGCTTTCATGAAATAAAAATCTTACAAGATATAAATTAATATTTCGTGATATCACATTCAAAAGTATACCTCTGAAATAGGTCTGTTCTCCAAATAAACATATGACTTTGACAAAGCAATATGTATTTGAATATGAGGAAGAAAAGAAATAGTTATATAATAAACATGACAAGTACCAATGAATAAAGCAAGTTTATCCTAATCAAAAAATATCTTTTGGTCAAATTGGAAAAATAATACATAATATTATATTGAAGCAAGGACTCAGTTAATTTTTTCCATACAGCGATTAGTCGTACAGTGATTTTCAAAATTCTTTTTTAAAATTTCATTCAAAGAGATTAATTTTGAAAACATAATGAATATTTGCTTATTGTCGTCATAATATTTTATTCAAATTTTAGTTCAACTTCTATATTAACCTACTCATTTGACGAATAGTGTATTTTATCATAAATAGTTTGTCGTTTTCTTTGAACACATTTTACGAGTAATATCGATAACAACCGTCTTTGATTTTTATTACCACCCTTTTTTTTTGTTTCTTTATCTCTCTTATTATGTTCTGTTTCTTCAACAATCAAATTGATGCATTGGGGATATATTCATATATTTCTCTTTTCTTTGTATGTCTCCTATCTCTAATTGACTAACTTAAGTTTTACAATGAATTCGAGTTGAACGAGCAACAGACATACGAAGTATTTTCGTTCTTTTACAATCTTCAAAATCATCAATCTGATAGATGAGGGTCATAGCAATAAGCCATGCATGCTCATATGTCTCAAAATGCGTAGTTTCATCTAAGAAAAATTTAGATATGTTGATACAGAACGAAATCAAGCATCAATAGTATATTCATTTAGTGTTAACACATTATAATGAAATATACATTTTTTAGTTAGAAATATTATATAATATATTCCTAGGTGAAAATCTGATGAATTGAAGCAACCTAGAGAGAGAATATAGTTGAGTTTTCGTTCAATAATCATCATTGAATTATCGAATTCCGTTCTCTGTGAAAAAGAAAAGAAGAAGTGTCATACAAACTTTTTTAAATTCTAACTTTATCTAGTTGTCTTTCGAAATCTTTTTCGCTTCAAAAAAGGGCTTTACCCAGACAAAAAAAAAGCAGTCCATACTTTTGATATGCTCAAAGCTTTTCTTTTTAAAACTTCACTAACCGAGATAGACCAAGTAATCAATAGACCATGATACAAAGTTCTACGATATATCGAAATGAATCTCTAAGGTCTCGTTTATAATTACCGTCACTTAGACTAACCACAGTTTGAACAGTCTTAGACATAATCTTTTCTCTCCAAAAATCTCGTTCTTGAGATAAACCGAAATGAATAAAATTAATTTATTCGGTGATTAAGTAGTTAACGCGAAAGTAATACTATTCAAATGCATCGTTCCGTTGAAAAAAGGCTCAGTTTATGAAAGTAACGATTTTAGACATATAGACCCGAAAACGTCAAATTATCAATGCTTTTATTCAAGTATCTTGAAAAGTCGTTATTTTTTGATGATTTATTTATAAACGAATGACACCCTTATACTTAGGGTGTACCAAAAGTTCTGATCACGACGTTACATAGCCATATAGTAAGCTTAAAAAAAACTTTCTTTCTATATAGTCTAATAGAGAAAAGAGTGCTCTATTTTGCTATGCTATT